AACAGCAACAACAAAAAAAGTCTTAGCTGTATTAGAAGGAAGTGACAGAAAGAGGACTCACACCACATGCACCATTTGAGTTCCACATTTTCTGCTCTCTCTTTTTCACTGGCCAGGGGTGTGTGCAAGCTCTCTAAAAGATGAGATTAGAACACTGAACACTCCTGCCTCCTCCCCCCCCACGATGGGCTGTTCTGGTTCATGGCTCAGCTTGAGTGTTCTCCAACTTTTTCCTCTTTAAAATCCAACCTCCCCCCCCCACCCCAACTCATTCTTCATGCATTTCCTTCCCCTTTAGAGATACGCATGGTTATTTCCAGTAGACATTAAATATTGGCAGCTTCTTCCTGTGTAAATTACTAAGTCTTCACTTTGTAAATACAAAAAATATTAAATCCTGCTGAGCCAGCATCCCATAAGGCTGATGTCAGAGATGACAGTTAAATATGGATTAGCTTCCCAAACTTTTTTTGCAATTCCATGTTATATGAAGAGGGTTTATTATATTCCCTGCCATTTTCTCCTCCACAGATTGGTTATTTTTATTAACCAGTTTTGCTTACACTTTGTCTTCCCAAGCATGCAAGCTGAACTAGTAAAATAACTTCCCCATCCAGTCCACATCCTGAAGAATTCCTCCTCCTCAGCCTTTCACCTCAACCCCACCACCCTCCAGCTTGCATAACTGCATTCTAGTGTGGAAACATTTGCAGTGGTCTGATTTTATGACAAAAATAGATTTTCTGATTCTTTCCCCTCCTAATAGACTGTTTTAACATCACCAGCCTATTTTGATTCACTGGTGAAAGCATGAGACTCTTCAGCCTAATTCATCCTTTCCCAAGCAACAGACAATTCCTAGCCCTGTCTGCTGATCAGCAGCTATTTTTCTGTCCTGCCCTATGAAGTATAATTATTTACACAACTGCAAAAAAAGCTGCTGCAGTAATGTATTCCGTGGGGAAAGCTGATGAATGACAGCTCCTCTGTGCAAGTAAGAGGTCTGGAAAAGCAAATAGAAACAACAAAATATTCCAACATAATCACTGAGCCTCTAAATGAAACAATAATCAAGAGCTTAGGCACGTTGAGAGCAGTTGTGACATTAGCATTAATGGCACTATCAATCAGTGCAACCATCACAAAATATAGACATTTAACCAGTTTTTGTTATGACTAGCTAAAAAATAAATTCAGTCAATTCCCAATATTTACAGGTCAGAGAAGCCAAATATTTACCACTGCAGGCAGCAGAGCAAGCTCCTCAGGGCTGATACGGTGGACCCTTCTCCTTTGCATACAGACCTGCTAAATACTCTCTTCAGAATGTCTTTTATTGCACCATTCCAGCTGTGTAGGCTACAAACTTCAGCCTTTAAATGTTTTTTTGGCTTTTCCAAATTTCAAGTGACAAGCCTTAAAATGCCTTCTGCATCAGAAAACACTGTGGATCTATAAAGGAGAAGGACCAACAGCTTTGGAAATGTTTGTAGCCTCAAGAATACCTGCTAATTATACAGCTAACCAATTACTAAAGACTTACCCTTACCTTACTGCAAGCATGGCAAAATATCCAGAATTATTAACTCTTGAATTATTATTTGACTCCATTATCAAAGCCTGGAGATGTTTCCATTGTATCCCAGATACATATAATTTGGTTTTAGACACCAACCTATTAAGCAACTGTAAAACCTCCAAGGAGCAATAGAGGATCTCCTCTAAAAAACCATCCATGCCTACTCAGAAATCACCAAGTTGAATTCAATTGACTTCACAGAATCACACAGAATGGTTAAGGTTGGAAGAGACCTCAAAGATCATCTAGATCTTGGGCAGGGGTGCCTCCTACCAGCCCAGGTTGCTCCAAGCCCCATCCAACCTGCCCTTCAACACTGCCAGGGATGGGGCAGCCACAGCTTCCCTGAGCAACCTGGGCCAGGCTCTCACCACCCTCACAGCCAAGAATTTCCTCCTCATGTCCAACCTCAATCTCCCTTCTTCCAGTTTAAAACAACCACCCCTTGTCCTGTCACTCCCTGCCCTTGTCATAACTCAAATCTTTAAACAGTAACTAGAAGTTACTGCACGTACAGGAAATGCATATATAGCTTTCAAAGCACCCTCAAGAGCTGTAGTTGTTAAACAGAGATGGCAGTGAGCTAAAGCAGAATTGAAAGAGCTTCTTTAAAGCTCTCCTAATAAGTGTGTCCCCTTCACAAAACCCACAGTATAACTTCATGGAAGAAAGGAAAAAATTGATCTGAACGACTTCCCATCTAAACCACAGTGTCAGAGAGCAAAACCAGCCCTTGCTGCCCTGAGAAAGGAGAGGAAGCCATTGAGTGCTGATAGTGAGGACAGCTGGGTGACTGTGGTAGCCACAAGAGCAGGGTGCTTTCAGCAGGCTGAGGGTTAAGGTAGGACCCAAGGGTGCATTCAGGTTTAACAGCTCTATCTATGACTGCTACTAGCTTAGAACTGAAGGAATATTCAACCACACGGGTGAGCACAGCACACAGCCTTTTGTAACCCTGTTCCCAGCACCTCTGCTCCTTTACTACATCCAGGCACGTGTTCTCTGCACAAACACCCCTTTAAACCTTCAATATGCAACTGCCATCTTGTTTTGTACTGTTCTCACTGCCTGCCTTACAGCAAACTTACACTGAAATTGTTTACTGTGAGGGTGGTGAGAGCCTGGCCCAGGTTGCCCAGGGAAGCTGTGGCTGCCCCATCCCTGGCAGTGTTGAAGGGCAGGTTGGATGGGGCTTGGAGCAGCCTGGGCTGGTGGGAGGTGTCCCTGCCCATGCAGGGGGTTGGATCTGGATGATCTTTCAGGTCTCTTCCAACCCCAACCAGTCTGTGACTCTATGAAACAACCAACAGCATCCATATTACCCTCCCACAGAGGTTAAACAGACACAGCAGAGTGTACCAAGCCACTCCATGCCAGGTGACACCATCTTGTAGCAACTGCAGATTCCCAAAGCAGAACAAGGAGCCACAAGTCGGGGCCCATGGTGCTCTCCACAGCTGTGCTCCAATCCTGCCTTAGTCCACCTTGAAGGAACACACTGGAGATTCTCTAAAACACTTGAAAGAGCAACTTGGAAATAAGGAGATTGATGCTCACGTGGTCAAGACAATTCTGATCCTACCATTTGAGAGATTTCATTCACTTCTAATTACTGGACTGTTTGCTGGTCAGAAACACCTGCAGAGCTTTCATACTAGTTATGCAAATGTGAAAGCAGTACATTTGCTCCACATCAAGAGACATTTGGGGGAGGAAAATAAAAGCACACACAACAGGAAACAAAACGAATGCTAAATCTGGAAAACAGGAAGAAAGAAGCTTCAAGGACAACAGGAAAAAGAGTCAGAAAGTCAAGACAAAACGATCAATCAGTACACCAGATTAAACTTTGAAAGGCATGTTTCAAAACTCTGCAGACTAACTTGAGCATCAAACTTGCATGAGAACAAAAGCAAACCAGATTTCTTTCTATAAACACACACAAACACATATTCCAGTGAATACCATGTACTATTTGTTTGCTTTACAGGCTGATGACCAGCTTCCAGAAAGCTTCTCCCACACTTGTAATATTTGAGTCCCTTAATTCTTACAAAAGAAAAAAAATAAATCTTTTTCTTCAACTCCTAACAAGGTGAGATAAACCCCTTAGGTTTATTCACCTTAAAGGTGCATTTATAGCAAAAATTCAATGAATTAAGTTACAGTAGAAACAAATAGCTCTTAAAGTGACCAGGTTTCAAAGCTCACACAACCACCAAGTCAGTGCAGCATTTCACAGAATCCCAAGCAGAAGTGCCATTCTTGGTGCAGGTATCTCTTAAATTGGTGTATAAATCAAAAGCACTGACTACTCTAAATCCTCTTATTTTTTCTATGACAAATTAGAGAATTGAGTAAGCTGCCATACCAGGAAAAGGGTGTCTGATATATCCCCTTTATGGCAAAACAGTGACTGCTGCTTCCTGGGCTGAATGGAAAGGACAGGAAGGTGAAATGAGACCAGCCAGGATGTGATTCTGCTAATAGACTCTTGTTTACAAGACTCACCACAGTTGCTTTCCTGCTAAGTTGTTTATTCATAAATGCACTATGAGCAGCTTCCCAAAGACTCCCATCACCACTGAGGGACAGCAAGCTTCTGCTGGGACCCTGTTTCTGAAATCCACATCTATTGATTTGGAATTCTCTCCTTTTTGCCCATTAGTTAGATGATTAACTCCCTGGAATTATTTATCTTTGCTTCTGTCTGAAAAAAAATGAGTGAGATGTTGATGCTTGACTATCCAACATCATGTTTATGCCATGGAACTCTTTTCTCCTTATATGTTTTATATCCATTATCCTCTGTAGCTCCTCCTGAGAGCTCCAGCTAGCAGCACCTCCCAAACCCCATTTTTCACCCACAACAAGCCAGCTGTGCCTACAGCAACCACATTCCCCCCAAGGCCAAGGGAGGGAGAGGATCAGATGCAATACTACATCTAGCTTTTGAGGTTGAACATTACACTGAACCAAATCCCTGAAGGCCCCCCACACAACAACTTCTCAAAGCAGCAAATTTCCCACATGGAGGTGCCACATTTAGACTCCCCAAACTCTGTCTCTAATAAACTCTTAAGTTTAAAGACTTCTTTCACAAAGACACAATGTTAAACATGAACCCAGAAAAAAAGCTTCCATTTCTTAATCATTCTTCAACACTGCCAGTGAAAAATAAATCAGCATTAAAATGCCTTCTGGAGCCACTATCTTAGTCTTTTGTTGGGGGTTCAATATTACAGAATAGGCCACGTGGAGCTCAGTATCATACCAAGAACTCTACACTTAGACATAAATCTCTTCCAAGTTTGTTTTCACGTGCAGACAACACATCAACCAGCAGACATTTGTTCAAGCTCTTATTACTCCCCAAGACAAATGTATGTTGTAAACACTTGAAAACATTTCTCTCCATTACCTAGGCTGAGAGTTCTCCTCATACATCCGCTCTTTTCCTTCCTTGAAGAGGCTGATGGTCTGCTTGGTTTTCTTCATCAGGTTCTCCATGAAGACTCGGAAATACTCGTTTTCTCCCAAGGTTTCCATCTTCCCTTCGTAGCGCGACAGGATGGTCCGGAGGTGCTGGTAGGTGTCAGGCAGCAGATCCAGGATGTAAGGTGGGCTGTTCTTCAAAGCCAGTTTGGGGTTCTGACACAAACGCACCACCTAGGGTTAGTGGAGAAAGGACCATGTTTAAAACTTCAAATGAGCAAGTAGGTATCACTTAACTTACATCACCAGACACTGCAACAGTCAAGAAACCCCATTTGCTGCTTAAGTTCAATTAGGGAGCTCAGCCATTGTCAAAGGATTACTTCAACCTTTCTTCTGCTGGGTATACAACTACACATCTCATTTTTCTTCCTGCCAAGCCACATGTTCTCTGCTTTTTTTAGCAGTGAGGTGACAGTTTCTCAAAGTTAAGACCTTGAATCTATCAACTGAAAGTTTTACATTCTTCAGTGGATGTATTTGATCATGCAATTGTTCATCAGTTTTTAGGCACTTACTTTTGCATTCTGTAGTTAAGGCACAAATAAAAAGCGGAATATTCCTGTTCAGAGCTCACAGGAAATACAACATCAACATATCTGGTCACAAGAAAAATAATATAGACCTTTAACATACAGAAACAGGGAGCTTCTGTGCCAAAGCTTATGATGCGTGTCAGAGGGTAAGGGAAGCCACTGCACCATCCACCATAGCTAATATTTTCCATTATCTAGACCGAACGACAGAGAGATAATGTCAAAGTGGCTATTTGAAAAATTAGTGGTGCCCTTGCAGTTATAAGTCAGTTTCAGGTGAAGTTTACAGGTTAAGAACCAGCAGCTGGTGCAGTTTTACTGCTGTCTTGCTAGCTAACAGCTTCTAGTTTCTGAGACACACAAACTGGAGAGGAAAGCTGGTACAACACACAAAGAGAGGACTTCCTCAAGTTCTTCACTACAATAAAGGTTATCTGACTGCTGAACACCAAGCACATGAATGAGTCTGAACTAAGACTATTGCAGGTTTCAGACTATGGAGCACTGGAGAACATAAAGCTTAAAGGAAGTGGATAGGAAAAAAGAACAAGCTAACCTCCTTCTGCAGTGCATCATTTCCATAAAACCTTGTGAAGCCTTCAAGAGGAATTGACTAGTTCCCTACAACACACACTTAAATACCCACTTCCCTTAAACGTTTACATGCTAGTGGTAAACCAAGTAATTTATCCTGAAACAGTGCTGCAACACTTGGCCATCCAGGGTACATGCAAGAAGCAAGCTCGTTCAGTTAAGAGACATCTACAATTATATCTGACCTGCAGCAGTGCCCCTGATCAGAGCTGACTGAGAAAGACTCGATTTCAGTGAAGAGAAAGGCACCCAGTGTATTAAAACTCAAGAGAAAAATCTGACTGCGATTAAAGGAATTACATGCCTGAAAAAGCCTCTGCAAGAACACATGGGAAAACAACAACCAGAGATCTCCCTCCATTTTGAAGAGGCTGCCAAGGATTAGGAGGGTCTGGAGAAGGAGATGGATGGTCAGACAACTGACTTTATCCAACTGATTCTGAAGCCTCAACTGCTTCTTCCTTGGAGCCTGTGAAAATTGTAGAATGAACCATATGGAGGAACTGAGTCAACACATTTGTCCCCTGAATCAAACAAGTTCCACTAAGCTGCATGAATGGGTTCTAAACGTGCTCTCAGGCACAACTGGATTGTGCTACAAATAGCAAAATCTTTTCTTCTGCAGGAATTGTTTGTTATGCAGTGGCTTTGAAACAAGTTCTACAAACCATTCATTCTCACAGCCTCTATAAAATGCTGCCCCAAGAAGAGACTTGCCAAGATACTCAAAGAGTTAACAGAAAAGGCCCAAATTGCTGTGATTTTACTATTAAATGAGTTATTTTATTTACAAGTAGACTGAAATTAGCTAAGATAGTTTTGCTTAAATGCTTATGTTACTAGGAACTGCTGCCTCTTGAGCAAACTCGGTTGTTTTATAACACAGCAGCAAGGAAACCAGTTGCATTTTGCTGGTTTCCCTGCGTGTGCACTTGCAGCATCATGACAGTGTCAAAAGGAATGTTCCCAGCCCTGGGAACAGCTGCCCCTCAGCCTTCCTTCCACAGGGACCAGCAATGTGGAAAGAAATTGAGCAAAAAGTGGGAAATATTTCTGATTAGGTGTGATGGCAACAAACACAAGCAAGCATGTTTTTAAACTACCATTCAAACTCACCCAAGGTTGCCTGGCTTTTGCCACTCTCAGGAACAATCCTTTTACAGACGTATTTCTGGGTTTTCAGAAATACCAAAAGGAACATTTCAAGCTTAGCACAAAGATTGGCCTGTAAATAACCCTAAAATTGACTTAAAAGATTTTTCTTTTCCCAAACTCAAGTGGGGAAAACAATCAAAACACAGTTTCCTCCTTCAGTTGTGAAGAAATAATCTAGTATCTGCTTATTCTAGGAAAAGGCCTGGAATTGAATCTCTCCCCTCAAGATTCTGCAGTTTGCCTTCATTCATCTCTGGATTTAGAATATCTCTCCTCAGCACTGCCTTGTGACACTACATACTGAGTGTGTCACAGGCACAATTCACCTGCTGCTTCACTCCAATGAGCCCTGAATCCTCCTCCCTCAGCCTCCTCTCCACCTGTCCCATCCTCTTGCTCCATCCCTTCCCTATCCTGCTCATCTCCAGCCCTACCTCGGAAAAAGCTGGTGCCAGCCTGTTTGCTGCACCCAGGGGCATGGCACCCCACTTCTTGTGCTGGCAAAAAGGCACAGACACCACATACCTGCTGGCCTCAGAGGGGGCAGAGTGCCACAGAGCCTCAGGCCTGACAAGGTGTCCAAAGCCCCCAGATGCTTCTGTGCCAGGGAACAGCTCTTCCCTTCCAGCTCAGATCTGAAAAGCCATAGTTCTGTCCCTCCTTGAAGAGCTAAATGGCCAAGTTCCTCACTGAAACTATACTTCAGCCAGCAGCAAAAGAAAACCTTCTCAAACTTCTCTGCTGCTGAATTTGTATTTGGCTTCTCTTCTGCTTACAATGAAGGTGACCTACAGTGGCATTTGTCTGGATCAGTTTTAGAAGCTGAATGGCATCAGCACACTGCTTAGAGAAGCTTCACCTCAAGGCTCATCTTCCTCCTCCAAGTCTTGCTCCATGTACTCTACCCCCCTTCTGCTACATCCCTGCTTCATCCCAAGTAGTTCCTGACCACACCATCTCTTCTTCAAACCTTCTTCTCCTGTATTACCTGCTGCCCAGATCCCATTTGCAGGAACTGATTTGTAATCTCACCCTTTTGTGTAAAAAATACAAATCGTTTTCACCAGTCAACAAATGATTTGTTTTCTTACACTAAGTACTGCTTTATTTGCTAAAGACAGCGATAAGATAAGCAAGCATGGCAAAAACAAATTAACCAGTTCCTCCAGATTGAGCCAATCAATGCACTTTACTAGGCTGAAAAGCCTGCAAGGGAACTGCTGTGTGGCTTGTCACTGCCAGCTTGCAGGTCCACAAGGCACCTCACAACGTGTGCAGCTTCCAGAGACACATTCCACCTCTGCTCCATAGATACACACAGAATTGTCACCCAATTCAGCTGAGCATCCTGGGGCACAGTGAGGAAAAAGGGTTGTTTCATGTCTGTGCTGTACATGACCATTTGCAGGTTAGTCCTGACAAACATTAGAACTTCAAGCAAAAGAATCTGAAGGACAGGAACGTGCCAGGGAGAAAATATCTGGGCAAGAATCAGCTTGCACAGGAAATTCATCAGTCACATCCGAAAACAGAGATATACAAATGCTTTGACTACACCAGCTAATCATGCAGAGCAACAAATCAGGTTGTGAACACACTGCACACACAGCACACATTTCTGAGAAGCAAACACAACATCTGTTAAACATGCACGTGTCTAATGGATCATTTCTATTTGCACGTTTAATCTGAAGCTGTGGAAATATCCCCACCCTCAAAAAACCAAACCTATCCCACTGCAATTCAAAATACCAAGGTAGTCCAAGCCTTTCTTCAGGCCAACAGACCAGTTTATGAGGTCAAACCCAGTTGATACTCACATCTCTACCACATGCACAAAAATCAAGATGTGCATTTTTACAAGTTGTACCTGTGAAACTTATTCCAAAGAGGAGCACCTTTCCCTCATTAGCATTTAGCCTTTCCCTCAGTTTGTAACAGAGCCACTGCAGCTCCTCAAAGCACTTTTCCCTTTCTCCCAGTGCCTCTCTGTAGAAGGTGATCAAAGCTCATCACAAGTACAGCAAAGCACAACTATAAACCATGTCTTTTTGGTGAGCCAGCCAACACAAAGTGATTTCTTGGCATGGAAATAATTTGTCTTTTTAAAAGTCACCTACTCTGCCTGCTTTAGCATTTACTGCAGGAGATTCAGACACTGCATGCATAAACAATGCAGAGAAAAGAGAAAGGAAAGTTGAAATGCAGAAGCCTGCAGGGCAATTGGATGAGATATGCCCATCAGCTCTGCTCCCAGAAGGGGATGAGGAAATGCTCCCTGAGGACTGCAGGCAATGCTGGCCATGCTCTTACTCTACAGTACTTTTAGGGCCCCGAATCCAACTTTATAAAATGAACTTGCACATTTTGGAACTCCAACATGTCAAGCCTAGCCTCGATTCTAAGAGCTGAACAGCAGAAGAAAAATCAAAATCCCAGGAAAAATGTCAAAAGGTTTGTTTTATGCCCACTTCTGGATGTCTGTGCTCACTTACTGGGTCATTCTATAAATAACACTAGCATCCCACTAACAACTCACCAGGATTTCTTAAATCAATGGCTTTACCAACACACCTAGCCAGGCCAGTAAATCAACTACCATACCCCATCACACCACCAGGCCAAGAGGTCTAGTGTCCTGCCCCAGGCCATGACCATTTCCTGGCGTTTGAAAAGGTGGTGGAGGAGGGGAAGTGTTTTAATGACCCCAGAGCCCTGCAGAAAGGCCCGGGACTGGCAGATGGCCTCTCCAATGCTTACACCACAGGTTCTGGTTGTGTGACGTTAGACTTCATACCCCTTATCTTGCTGTAACCACATGCATTTATTGTACAGGGTTATATTCAGAGTTCCATGGTTTTTATCAGGCTGCCCGTTGGAAGGAAAAGG